TGGAAATTGGCTAAAGAAAGTGCTTGAATTAAAAAACAAAACCTAAGACCTTCTAGAAATAATACTTTAACCCCTGTATGAATAATGCTGGTGTGAAAAACAAATTTATTAGACATTACAATGGCCACATGATTTTAGGATTTTTCTGTAAACTGAACTTTGAAGGTGAAAATAAAACTACCATGCACTGTACAATAAATTGCAAAAGTTCAAATATCTTCTTTATCAAATAAATACATGCTGACTTACTTTAATGTACTCCCAAGTCATGTTGCAAAATCCTTTCAACATGCTTGAAATAAAGCTTTTTTTGTCCCCTTGAGAAATTCAGCAGCATCTACAGCTCTGAATCAAATATAGGGTGTAAGAGTATCAGATCAAAAACTTGTAATTTTTTAGCATAATGTTCACTCTGGTAGGGAAAAAGAAAATAAAAGATTAAAAGAGGAAGAAAGATGTGAACAATTTGCACATTTTGAACTTCATAAGATCTGTGTATTTAACATGGAAATAAATTGAATATATGATGCTTATTTGTCACATAAAGAGAATTTTAAGTATCTTCTAGAAAGTATTTTTTTCTGTAATGTCTGCCAAAACACAGACTATGATTAAAGAATAAACATGGTGTGTCTTTGTATCACCCTGTTGCATTCTCTCTCTTTTTTAAAACCATGCACTAGTGAAATTTATCTTTAAAAATAATATAAATTGTTGAAAATGGCTGATTTTTATTTTTTTGCAAGTTGCAGCTCCAAGAAAATAATTTAAGTATTCAGCTAATCTGTGTCCATGCAAAAAAAGTTTGATTTCATTTAGTACAGTATAGCCACAGAATTTTTTTTTTCCAGAGTCCAACACATCTTTGCATGAGGGAGTGATATGCCTGCTGGAGCTCCGAAGTCTGCCACCGTCTACGTCGTCACGTTGGACTGGCTGCTCCTGTCCCCCGTCCAGAGGAGGGCTGATGTTTTGTCCTGGACCACATCTTTGGTCTCTTGCTTTTCACCTGACGCTTCTGAGGACTTCACTCCTTGACTTGTAAGATGGCTTAATGGCTGGATAGCTCCATTTCTGTGGCATCACAGGGCTTTGGGGTCAGAGAAATGAAAAAAGGAACGATAAAAATATAAAGGTGCCATTGAAAAGGGCTTTTGCTGCATGAAACTGACTGATTCTTTGAGATTAATCCATGGCTTCAGATTGGACAAAACTCAAGTGTTCCTGAACTCCAAACCTGATAGTTCGTCACAGCTCTGCTCTTTCACCTGAGGGCATTCTTTAGGGCACAATGTGTGCGACTTCCTCTGAGAACACAGGATCGCTTTGTATCCCTAGAAACAGGCTCAGAAGACACAACATTAAGCATGCAGTGTTACCAGGGTTTGCGACCTGTGATTTTTTTTTTGTAACGCTGGTTGCTATGACAACAGTCTTACAGCTGCTATGAACGAGAGTAAGAAGGTCCAGTTGAACTTTCCAGAGAGGATTGGGAGGCTCTTCTTGTCAGAGGGGCCAAGGTTGGATCTACTAGGGAGGAAGGAGGGAAAAGTTTGAACCACCCAATCACCATATTGGATAGCTCCAGTTCATCTAAAAGTATCTGGGCCACTCCCATGAAAGATTTGTGATCCATGCGGCCATAATCTCCCCAGACAATGATCTGTTGGCAAAATAAGGAGAGTAAGGTCAGTGTAACCAGATACATAAAAGCTTGTAAACTAAAATACATTCAGTTATACAATAGATTCAGTGAATATGCCGACATTAAGTTAAATAGTTGTATTTAATTACTGGGATGGTGCTCCAGTGGGGGAGGGTATAGTATA